TCCTGGGGCTGCCTTTAAGCACCAGTGTCTACCCCCAGCTCCTCCTTCCCACCTCCCCAGCCTCTTGAGGCTCAGGCCCCCCGCCCTCCCTCCCAAAGAGCATTGTTTACGGCCCTGTTGGTACAACACTGTGTCCTGGACTGGGAGGCTCAGGTTTCCTGTGAGGATTTGACAGGTGGCACCTCTCAATCATAGTGTGGCCCTCCCACTTCCACCTCCGTCCTGCGGTCACCTCTCTTCCCTGTGGATTTGCCTGGCCCTGGGACCCCAACAACCACCTGAAGGGGCCATTGGGAGTGTGGTCCACGGCCTCTGCCCTGTCCTGTGCACTGAGCCCTGGCCAAGCCTTCTCTTCTCTTTCCGGGGCTGCCCACTATGCTCTGTAAACACTCCCTTCCCTCTTTCCTCTTCCCAAAGCAGCTGCAGGAGATGACTGGGGCAGCTGCCAGACAAGGGGGCCTGGGTCTCAGGGCATATGTGGAACAGACAGATTTGGAGGGGGAGGGGGCATAGGAGAAGAGTGATGGGGCGAGCTGAGGGACAGACTTGGAGTCTAGAAACAAAACGTTTTAGCTCTATTTTGAGCTGAAGTGACTGGTACACAGTGGGCTGGGATCCACGGATGAACTGAACTGAAGCTTCACTCACACACATACACACACACTTGTCAGCTTCTCCCTACTATGTGACTGACACTAGGTACCACTTTTGCGGCATATGCTCAGCGGAGACCACTCAGTCCCGGTTCTCACAAAACTGTTACTTCCACCCAGCCCGCTTCCCCCATGGCCCTATCAATGCAGCCGCACTGGCCTCCTTCCTGTTCCTTAAATAAATCAATCCCTTTTCAGACATAGGACTGGAATCGTCTTCCCTCTGCTCCTTGAGAGGATGACTCTTCGGCATCCTTCTGCTGTCAGCTCACATTTCATTTCCTCGGAGAGGTCTTCTGTGATGTCTTCTGGTGGACCGTGCCAACCCCCTTCCGTCTTCAATTTCTCTCCATCATCTCCTCTGTTGATTTTCTTCATGATATACAGGAGAATCGAAAATGATTTGCTTTTGTTGGCCAACCTTATTAGATTAGAATCTCTGTGCAAACAAGGAAGTTAGAATACTATGCTCTGGCTCTACGCTCGGAATTTAGCTATTTGCTTGGTTTATATTGTTATTGTTGTTAGGTGCAGAGTAGGTTCTGACTTGTTGGGTCAGTTACTCGTTAGCCGTTGGTTCTGACTTTATGTACAAGAGAAGACAGCTCCTCTTAGGTTCCTCTTAGGGGCTCAAGCGGTAGACATTGAATGAACAAAATCCCCACAGGCATGGAGCTGATTTCAACTCCTAGCAACCCTGTAAGTCAGCGCTACCCTGTGAACTTTCTAAGGTTGTACATTTTACAGGACTAGACAGCCTTCTCTTTATCACCAGAGTGGCTGGTGGATTCGAATCACCAGACTTTGGCTTAGCAGCCCAACACTGAATCCACTCTGCCACCAGAATAGAAATAGGCATTAGTTAGGGTTTGCTGTTGTGAGTACTCACAACCCCAGTCGTGAGTACTAATAATCTGTCCCATAGTTAAAAGCTCTAGCTGCCTCTGGTGTTAAGTCTCTTTCACCCTTTCAGAACTTACCTGCCTCCTGATGGCTGGTAAGCTCTTCCTCATCTTTTTTGATGTATTTTCTCTTTTTAAAAATGCATTTCTCTTCTTGTCCAACCTGGATATTAAAAACCAGCAAAATAGCCAATCATCACATTACTCACAAGAATTTGTCTTAGGCAACGCATTTCATTGGTCAGATGGTCAGAGCCTAAGTTTATGAACAACAGGTGGAAACGCTGCCCTGTCTTGCACTATCCTAGGGACCACGGCCTTGGTTAAGCCCATTGGTGCAGTCACTGGGTCAGTCTATCTTGTTGAGAGTCCTCCTCACATTCACGGACCCTCTAAGTTCCCCAGCATGATGTCTTTGGTGATAGAAATGAGACCACAGAATCCAAGGTAGAATTACCTGCTTACTGTAAATACCTTTAAAATATATATATATGTTGTTGTTGACTGCCTTCAAGTTGAGCACGACTCATAGTGACCCTATGAACAAAAGGCTTGGAGCCCCTCTATGACTATCGACATTTATCAAAGTTCATAGAGTTTCCAGAGGCATGTTATTCAGGAAGTGGATGGCACTCCATAGTGGGTGAGTGACGCTGTATCAGGACTTAGTGTCTTTATGCTATGTGACACAGGATGTTAGTAGCGATCTTGAACTCCTAACACACACTATTCTAGGAAGTACAGAGCAACATTTTAAGATTTTAACAGGAAAGTACCAAGTTACTGAAATGAAAGAAAATAATTTTATTAATAAAAACACATCTGTAAATAGTGACGATATACATGGAGGGAGCTCTGATGGCATTGTCCATAGCATGTTGTGCTGTTAACCCAAAGGCCTTGCATCTGGCAGTTCAAATCCACCAGACCAACTGCTCTGCAGGAAAAAGATGGGTAGTTTCTTCCTGTTTCAATTTAGAACTCCAGAAAGCCAACAGACGGTCACTGTAGACCTCATCTGATGGAATATATACAAATCAAGTGAATAAATTTGTGGAATGAGATGGTGGAGAAACTCAATATTCTAAGTCAAGAGTAGGAGCCACCTGTTAAACAGATTATCAATTCGTTTAAAATGAATCTTAAGAAAATGAAAACAAATCCATGAGAACCAGAATAGGACCTTAAGTATATCCTACCTTGATTTGTTGTTGTGTACCACCGCATCAGAACTGACTCATAGCTGACCCTCCAGGGGGCTTTACAAGGGAAGTTGATTGCCCATCTTCCTCCCATGGCGCAGCTGGAAGATTCGGACCGAGTGACTTTGAGTTGACAGCACAATTCCTTGCCACCGGAGCGCCCCTATTTCCATGCAGAGATCAAGAATAGACTCAAGGCACTGAGTACTAATGACTGAAGACCGTAGGGGTTGTGTGAAGATCATCATCTCAACAGGAAATCTTTTCAGGCTCTGGAGAAGGCTAGAATGCTTTGAGAAGTGGAGATACACCAAAGAGAAAGACCCTCAAGGAGATGATCGGAACAGCGACTGTAATTGCAAGAGTTTAGGTAGGACAGCGTTCAGGTGTGTTGTTCATGGGGGCGCTATGCGTTGTACTCTATGACAACTAACTACAACTATATCGTCTGAAAAATCAAGGAATTCCAGGTCTTCCTCTTCGTATGTGTGTGTGTGTGTGTGTGCGCGCGCGCGCGCGCTCGCGCGTGCAAATCAAGGTATATATTGAATCTTTGTAAGTATCGCGCGCTAACCAATTGCGCCTTTGTAGCTACCTTATATTAAGTCTTTAAAGACGAAGAGTTCACCAACGCCTTTCTCCCTTATAGACGAGTGATGGCAGCCGAAACTACTCCAACTCATCTCTCTAAGGTTCAGTGTGTCCAATAAAAGTTGAAAGAAAGACACGTCTCGTGTTTCTGCCAGCAGGAATTGTATCTCACTCATCTTCAACAAGCCCAGAGCGAGGTGCAGTGACCCTCTCGCACCAGCGATTGAGCAATGTTCCCTGGTGAGCTTTCTTGGGCAAGAGTTTCAGACTTGGTGGCACACAGGAATCATCACCTGGGGAATCAATTTCAAAACTGTACTAAAGGCTGCTCCTTAGAGGCAAGGATTCTGGGGCTTCGTCTGACATACTTTGGACATGTTGTGAGGAGAGACAGGTCCTTGGAGAGGGACATCATGCTTGGGAGGGTGGAGGGACGGCGTAAGAGGGGAAGGAGGTGGATTGATTCAGTCAGTGACTGGGGTAATCGGGGTGGGTGTGTCAGAGGCAGTGCGATTGGCATAGGATAGAGCAGGGTTAGGGCTGTTGTACATAGGGTCGCTATGAGTCGCAAGCGACTCGACGGCACATAACAACAACAACAACAACTGAAGACTGGGTACCTCTTGTAAAAATTCTGATTCCATCGGCCTTAAGTGTAAGTTGGGCGTCGCTATTATAAAAGTGATTTTAATGTGCAGCAAAATCTTAAAATCCGGTTTTAGGCATTCTTTCTGCACGCCTGCTTTGCGCCGGCTCTGGGAGCGAGGACGGGTCTCATAAAGTTCGCCGAAATCTTTGCTAGCGAAGTAATAATAAACGCAAACTTCTGCGCACCAAGTTAAGAAGCTTGCATTGCAACCAGGATGGGATGCCCTGCACAGCGCGCACGCCTCTACGGTACCTTGGCGTCCCCTCTAGCACTCCCACAGCTCCTCCAGCCCGAGCCGGAGGCTTCCTCTCTATGGTCGTGGAGAGCCGGGCTCCACCCCCTCAAGCTACTTTATACCGGAAGCCGGTTCGGATCAAACAGGAGGCGGGACTTCCTTTCCGGAAGTGGCCTCACGTGCTTCCGTTTTCATATAGCTAGGCACCCGGTAAGTTTCCAGTGTTTGCACTAAGTTGGGGGCGCGAGGACGTTGTGATTCGCCCCAGGCCGTGGTGAGTGACCGGAGACTCCCTAGCCCCCTAGGTGTCCCTGAGGTTGGCGCCGCCATTTATGAAGTGTCACCTTTGGGTCAGGGTGGGGCGTTGGGGTCCGGCGCATGATTTGAGTTCCCAGGGCCGGGAAAGTTCTGTCCCGCAGTTTAAGATGTTGCGCTTCAGTTTCTGGATGTTCTTCTTCATGGAGTTGACCCCGAGAGACAGGGCGTAGGGCGCCTGAGCGCAGTTCCCAAATCCGCCTTGCCTGTGCTGTGTGACCTTGGATTTAGCAGTGGTCCTCTTGGGGATTCTGTTTCTGCATCTGTGAAATGGGGCAATCGGGCTCACTGAACTCAGAGATCCCCTCCAGGTTTGACACCCGTGACCTGTCTGCATCCTTTAGCCAATCCCCGGGTAAAGGGGGAGGATGGGAGATCTGGGCTCTGATGGTGCTGTTTGCCCCCAGGACTAGGAGACCAGAAGGCGATCCCCTCCGTGGTGCCCAGGCTGAGATGGATCCGCTCAGGGCCCAGCAGCTGGCCGCTGAGCTAGAGGTGGAGATGATGGCCGATATGTATAACAGGTAACTGAGGCCCCAACTTTACATGAAGTCTGAGGATGAGGTTAGGTCTTCCTTTCCAGGGGCAGTGACGAGGACTTGTGACCAATGCTTTCTTCAGTCTAGGGGATCCTGAAGCCCGTGCTTAACCGCTCCCCTTCCCCACCCATGATTGACGGCTGATGCAGATGCCACTCGAGGTCACTAGAGGACCTGACCTCTAGCCTTATGGCATAGAACTGAAAATGAAAGAGCGGGACGGAGAAAATCAGTCCGTGCTCTGTGAGGGCTCCAGACATAGTTGAACGTTTTTGCCTTTTAACAGATGTCCCATTTAGTAGTTGACGTTTCTTAAACTTTTACTCGGTATCATTCACTTGCTGAGCATTTACAAACAATATATTTTTAATCTTCAAAGTAACTCAGTGGGTTGATTTTCTTCTCATTTTTTAATCGTTTGAACTTCAGCCTTTTAACACATGTTCTAATTAGTAGGTAACATTTTTTTTAAATTTTTACGCTGTGTCAGGCACTTGCTGAGCATTTAGAAGCATCTTTCTCACTCTTTTAGAATAATTCAGTTGGGTTGGTTTTTTTTTTTTTTAGTCTCCTCCTTTTTAAATATTTAGGCTCCTTGGCTAATGGTTTCCTCATCTTAAACTACATAATAGTAGGACTGCTTCAAAACCCCCCATCCATTGAGTGGATTTCAACTCATTATGGCCCCGTAGGACAGGTTAGAACTGTTTATAGAGCTTCCAGGGCTGAACTTACTGGAAATAAATACCGCATCCTCCTTCCATGGAATGGCTGGTGAGTTTGAGCTGACCATTAGGTTAGGCACCAAGTTCTTTAACCGCTACATCATCTTCCTACCTTTTAAAGACATAAATATTGTTAGGAGTTGTCTCACAGGCCCTCACCTTCAAGTTTAATACATAGAAAGCAGTCAATAAGTATTTGCTATTTTTATCAGCTTAGCCTCTGGTGTCGGATGTCACAAAAACAAGCTGTGTACTGCCATCTCTTGATGGAGTGCTTTATTTTGAGGGTTATATAGTAGAGAGACAGACTATGCTCGGAAGGGTGGAGAGACAGCATAGGAGAGGAGGACCCCTGACGAGATGGATTGATAACACTAACTGGGGTAGTGAGAGTAGGTGTGACGGAACTAGTGAGACTGTCTCAGGACAGGACAGGCTGTACAAAAGGGTCTCTATGGGTCACAGGCGACCTGATGGCACATAACAGAATGGAACGGGCTGCATAATTTCTAAAATGCAGGCCGTGAAGTCATAACGTCTGGATTAGCTCCATGTGGCCCTCATCACATGACTGAGTTCCTCCCTGTGCCTGAATGTCCTCTTCTGTAAAATGGGGATAATGACAGTGCCAGCCACACAGGTCAATTGTAAGGATTGTTGTTGTTTCTCTTGTGTGGTGTTGAGTTGCTTCTAACTTATAGCAGCCCTGTAGGACAGTAGGACTGCCCCGTGGGGTTTCCAACGCTGTATCTTCACAGGGGAGATTGCGACAGCCTTCTCCCATGGAGCAGCCGGTGGGTTCAAACCATCAACTTTTCGATTAGTACCCAGGTGCTTACCCACTGCCACTCAGACGCGCTGCCATCAAGTCCATTCCGACTCACAGCAGCCCTGCGTCAGGTGTCCGTAAATCATAACAGGAGGAGACTACCTGTCTTTGCCCCTCACAGCAGCTGGTGGAGTCTAACTGCAGATTTGCAGCCTTTTGGTTAGTGGGGCAGCATGCTGCTGGCTTCACCCCCAGACTCCTCCCTGCACCTCTGGGGCTCCTATTCCAAAGATTGCATAAGAGAATCCACATAAAGCACTTGGTGCAATACTTGGCACAGAGTCAGCTCTCAGTGGCCATTGTTTTTGTTGTTATTGTTAAGTGCCTTCGAGTCGCAGGTGACTCATAGTGACCCTGTGAAGGAGAGTCCTCAACACTTGGGTGCCTTTCATCCTCTCTCCAGGTTCATAGGGTTTCTGGAGGCAAGCTATTATGGAAGTGGATGCCACTCCTGCTTCCAAGCTTGTGGCCATTAGCTGCTGCGTTTAGGGGACCCCACTCACACTGACTATACCCCAACTTCTGGGGACCCCATGCACTCTGAATATACCCTGACTTCTGGGGACCCCATGTACTTTGAATTTACCCTGACTTCTGGGGACCACATGCATGCTGAATGAAATGTCTGGTCCTGCACCATCTGCGTTGTTGGTTATGGATTGAACACTGTGGGCAGTCAAGTTTTCATTGGCTGGCTTTTGGTGGTATCCTGCATACGTGCTGTGTCGCTAGCCGAAAGGTTGGTGACTCAGGTACACCAACTGCTCCTCAGGAGAAAGACAGGCAATCTCTTGCCATTGAGATTTCCAGGCTTGCAAAACAGCTGGAGGAGCTCTATGAGTTGGAATTGACTCAGCGGCAGTGGTTTGATCTTTTGGCTTTGGGGGTGGGAGTTTGGAAGATCACCAGGCCTTTCTTTGTAATCTAGTGTAATCTAGAAGCTTTGCTGAAACCTGTGCAGCATCAGAGCACCTTGAAAAGCCTCTCCTGACGGGCAGGTGGTAGCTGCATGTGAGCTGCGTTAACTGGAAACTGACTCGTGGAAGGTGCACATTGTACCACTAAACCACCTCTGCCCCCAGCTTCCAGTTTACGGTTCTTTTTTTGATTAGTCGAATGCGTGGACTCGGGGTTCCTGCTCTGAAGGACCTTCCTTCCGAGGAAGGCCGGCTGAAGTGCAGACTGAAGGCTACTGTAGCTTCTTGAGGGAGGTAATGTCAGAACAGCCAGGACAGGAATGGAGGAGGGTTTAAAGGGTGCTGCTGAGCCAACTCTGCTGCTCTCGCTCCACAGAATGACCAGTGCCTGCCACCGGAAGTGTGTGCCTCCCCACTACAAGGAAGCAGAGCTGTCCAAGGGCGAGTCTGTCTGCCTGGACCGGTGTGTCTCCAAGTACCTGGACATCCACGAGCGGATGGGAAAGAAGTTGACTGAGCTGTCCATGCAAGACGAAGAGCTGATGAAGAGGGTACAGCAGAGCTCTGGGCATGCGTGACACCCAGGCAGACATGCCTGGGCTGCACCCTGCCCCTTCACTTGCCTAATAAAAGTGCCCCCTCTAGGGTGTCACCTGTGAAGACTGCCAGGCCTCAGCTCTCTCTGGAGGGTGTCAGGAGCCTGGATTGTGGCAGAGCTCTCTCCTGGTTGAAGAAGTGCTGTTGATCACACTGAAATGAAAATTTGCGTCTATCTGTGTGTGTGTGTGTGTGTACATAAGTATATGTATTAAAGTGTGTTGACACCTACTTTGCAAAGCCTGGCTGTCTGGAGGAAATGCCCCATGTTGGCCAGCAGAGGGAGTCTGGTGCCATTTAATATACAGACAAGTGGGACCACAGCTCTTTGCAGCTCACTTCCATCAGCTGCTGTGTGGCCCTGCTAAACGTGTCATTTCTCTGTGCTTGAACTTCCTCAGCTGTAAAGTGGGCATTATACCAGTGCCAACATCAGATGGCCAATGGGAGAGTTCAGATATGTGAAGCATTTAGAATGAAGTGCTTGGGAAGTGCTCGATAAACATTCAGCCAATTGCCACTAAGTAGATTTGTCCTCACAAAGAGAAAGCCCATGTGTTCAGAGAAGAGCTGCAGCCGTAGGACTTTTGGGGTCACATCTTTCGTCCAAGGCACCTTGGGGTGGATTGGAACTCCAGTTGTTTGGCTAGTAGTTGTACCTCCCAGGGACTCACATTATTAGCAGTACAGATACTTAAAACAACTTGGTCTTGAGCAGAAGCGGGCAGGTATTTCACAAATGACCCAGAGGAGTGATTTCGAAGGTGGACAGTAGAAGAGGGTAGCCAACCTGCTGGTTTTCAGTTGCGATATCAAGAAGGCGGAGGACTGATGGCTTGGGTAAGTGATCCGGGAGGGGCTGAACGCTGAGCACAGCCACTGCTTGGTTCCATCAGGGGCTGTTTTCACGTGTGACACCCAATATAGTCCTCCATCTGGGCTAAAGTACCTGTGAAGAAATAGACCCGAGCTTGGGGACCAGGATTGCCTCGCAAACAGGAAGAAGGGCTGTGCTTCAGGTCTGTCCTGAGAGGACCAGTCAACTCTCAGGATGGACGTGAGTCACCACAGTTGGAGTCTTGGTGGACACCCTCAGCTTCATGATGGTGTGGTGGAAGGAGAGGGTGTAGCCTCACCAAGGCAGTGGGTGTGCAGGAGGACAATGGTGGTAGGGAGTTTCTGGGCATTTTTGTTCTGGCGCTCAGGTTTTTCCACATGTTTAATCTGGATGAGGCATTTAAACGCTTTGTCCTCCGTGAAACTACCTGTCACTAGATGCTTGTGAAAATTTAACGTGACTGGGGAGTAGGCTTGGCACACAGGCTGAACATGATGTTTACTAAAAGGGAAACAGGTTTTCAGAAGCTGTAAATTGTGTGAGAAGATGGCCTTTTTCCTGCAGTACTGCTGATGGGTTCAAACATTTTATAAAATGTTTTTCTTAAATGTGCTAAGAGACACCAGGTAGTTTGACTTTTGAAAAAGAGCAGAACCATGGTGCATCTCATAGAGGGGTGGGCAGAGGGCCCAGGTACCTTTCTAGATGGTGACATTCACATTCCGGTCGATAGGTGGCACTCTCTGCTCATGGACAAGTCTTCCTTGTTGCCTATTCCATACCTGTCATGAAACGGAAGAAAGTTGTTAATATGTGCCATCAAGTCGCTGGTGACTCATAGCGACCCTATGTACAATAGCCCTAAACTCGGTTCTGCTCTGTGCCAGTTGCACTGTCTCTGACACACCTATCCCCATTACCCCAGTCACTGAATCAATTCATCTCATCGAGGGTCTTCAACTCCTGCACTGTCCCTTCACCCTCCCAAGCATGACTTAGTCCCTTCTTGCAACATGTCCAAAGTATTTCAGATGAAGCGTCAGAATCCTTGCCTCCAAGGAGCAGCCAGTTTCACCCTGTTCAAGATGAAACTGTTCTCCCAGCAGTCCATGCTATATTCAACACTCTTCTCCAACACCACAGCTCAAAGGCATCAGTTATCTTTCTGTCATCCCTAGTCATTGTCCAGCTCTGACGCATAGCAAGTGATTGCAAAGACCATGGCCTGTATCAGGCACACCTTAGTCTCCAGAGTGACATCATTGCTCTTCAGTACTTTGGAGAGGTCTCAGACAACAGACTTTCCCAATGCAACATATCTCTTAATTTCCTGGCTGCTAGTGCCAAGAGTGTTGATTGTGGAGCCAAGCAAACTAAAGCTAGTAACAATCTCAGTCTCTTTACCATCTATCATGATGCTGCCAGTTGGCCCAGTGGTGAGAATCTTTGTTTTCTTGACATTGAGCTTCAGTCCATATTGAAGCCTGCAGTCTTTGACCTTCTGCAGCAAGCACAAGGTCCTCCTTAGTTTCAGCAAGCAGGCTGTGTCCAACAGAGTGAAAATTAACGAACAACATAATTAATACCACATGCAAGCAAGATTCTTTGAAGATTATCCAAAAATGACTGGAATAAGCACATCAACAGAGAACTACCAAATGTGCAGGCTAGGTTTAGAAGGGGTCATGGTACTAGGAATATTGTAGCTAATGTTAGATGGATCTTAGCTGAAAGCTGGAAGTACCAGAGGAATGTCTATCTGTATTTCATTGACTATGCAAATGTGTTTGTGTGGATCACAAACAACTATAACTCTGAGAAGAATGGAAATCCCAGAACACTTGATCGTGTTAATGTGGAACCTATAGTTGGGCCAGGAGGCAGTCGTCAGAACAGAGCAAGGAAACACTTGATGGTTCAAAATTTGAAAAGGTGTACACCAGCGATGTGTCCTATCTTCATACTTTTTCAATCTTTATGCAGAACAGATTATCCGGGAGGCTGGGCTCCATGAGGAAAAATGTGGCATCAGGATTGGAGGAAGATTCATCAACAATTTCCATTATGGAGATGACAGAACCCTGCTTGCCTGGGAAGAAAGTAGTAGCTGTTAAAAAAACCAACCAACCAAACTGTGTACTTACCCTTGTACCTTCCTTCAGGTTTAGCAGGGATCCTCGGGAGTTGTCTGCATGCGCATGCCTGGGACGTTGTCGCTAGATTGGGGTCAGGTGGGGAGAAAAGGCTCCAACTGGAAGGATGAACACATGCAAAGGCTTTGAAGCAGCAGAAACCTGGGGTGTTCCGAATTGGAGTTCCAGTGCGCGGAGGGAGCATTCAAACGTTGAGTTTCAGTGTAGCAGAATGAAGTGCTTAGGAGCACCCCCTCCATGGTGGGGTGGGGTGCACCGGACAAGAATGTAGAGCAGCGGGGTGGGGTCGCCCGAATACAGGGTCCTAGTACAGCGGGGTGGGGTACTGGAGCACAGGGTCCTAGTGCAGCGGGGTGGGGCGTCGGGGCACAGG